TGAAACATAAACCAGATATGGGAACCGGTTGGTCAAATTTTTAGGGTGCAACACATATTTATGAATTTTGTGTCTGGTTTACATAGAATGCCGAGTAACTTTGAAGCTATTTGGGTTATTGTGGATAGATTGACCAAATCTTCTCACTTTATTCCTATGGATGAGGTTGAGGTGAGAGATAACCTTACGGTTGAAGCTTTACCGATTAGAATTCTAGATCGTGAAGTTAAGAAGCTAAGAGGCAAGGATATTGCGCTTGTGAAAGTAGCGTGGGTAGGCGCTGCGGAAGGCAATATGACTTAGGAATTAGAGAGTGGGATACGAGAGTCGTATCCAGAGTTGTTTGAATCAGGTAACATTTTCGAGGACGAAAATTTCTAAAGTAGGGGAGAGTTGTAACGCCCCGATTCTGATTTCCAATTTTGTTGAGTCTTTTGATTTATTTTGGTGATTAATATTTTAATTGTGAAATTGATGTGTTAATATGTTATGTTTGCATATTATGCTATCTTACCGATTTTGAGAGTTTTCGGGGAAAATAGATTGGAGGGTATTTTAGACATTTCTTATTTAATGATAAGATGAGATATTTTGTGAGAAAATGGATTAGTAGATGTTTGGAGAGAAATAGAATAGAAAGAGATATAAGTGGAATAGAGGAAAGAAAAGGATAGAAATAGAAAGAAGAGAAAAGGAAGAGAAAGAAAGAAGGAAGAAGAGAGAAGAGGAGAAAATAGAGGAAAAGCTTGGATAACTCAAGATTAACATCTAGGATTCGATTTAATCGGGTAAGGGTGTGAAATCTTATTATTTTCTCAATGTGTATGATTATGTATGCTTTTGTTGGATTGATTTGGATTGTTGGAGAGTTTTTACTCATTTTCCATTTTTAGGTCGAAATTGTTTAATCGATAGAAACCGATGTTTTAACGGTTAGAATCTGGAATAAGTGATGTAGTTTAGTCGAGGAATGTTAGGCTAAGACTATGGAAACTTGTTGGAATTGAATCGGGTGATTTTTGGACCTTGTGACATTTTCGGACAGTAAAGGTTTTTGAGAGATCGCAGAGGTTCGCTAAGCGAGCAGCTAGCGAGTGGTTTGCTAGGCGAGCTGCTAGCGAGCCAGTAGCGAATGGTCCTAGACTTGGACATAACCAAAATGACACTTGTTCGCTGGAGCGAGTGAGGTAGCGAGGGTTCGCTAAGTCTCCGCTAAGCGAGCTGGGTAGCGAACACTTCCAGTAGCAAAAAGGCAGGCTTCACTAGCACGTTCACTAGTAGCGAATGATCGATATGCCTTCGCTAGGCGAGTGAGCCAACGAGCATGACAACATTGTTTTATTTTTGTTGTTTCCACCCAATGTTGATACTTTGATTCTTCAACGCACAGCTTGTGTGTTGTATTATGATATGTTGTGGGTAGCCGTATGGCGTGAATCCTAGATTGTGGAATCGGTTGTGAAATGTGGCCTTTTTGGAAAATATTGCATTGTTTAAATTGATTAAAAGTGCATGATGAATGTGAGGGAGTTCATTGCCGTTTGGCGTGATATTGTGAATGCATATTGATTGTATGCGATTGTATGTGAGGCACCAAGATGTGTATTCTTGTGCATTGCTTGATAAAAATAGTGATGGTGTTGAAAGTATGAATACTTTGATAATTATGAAATATGTTGTGTGCAATCATGCTATAATTCTTGTGTGATGAATTATTTGAGAATGCATGGGATTAAGAAGCGAGAACGGTCTTAAGTGCATATGGTTGTTGATTGCATACACATCATTATTGTCAAGAGGTAATGCTTGCTAGTTTCGTGGAGACTAGTGACTTGTCCCAAACCTAGAGTGGGGTTTGAAAGCCTAGAGGACGGGCTTTTGTTTGTTATTAGTCTAGAGGACGGACCCGGTTTAAATGTAAAAATCGAAAAATAATAACGAATGTTGGTACCACATGGCATGAGTTGCATTGAGCTGCATTGAGTCACATGGCATAGGTATAATTGTTGTATGAATGTATGCATATGTGTATGAATTGTCGAACTGAGAGTTGTGAATTGGTGAATAACATAAATGTAAATGTTTATGTGGAAATGATGTGAATTGTAGAAGCACGAATGATGAATATGCTTGGTTGTATATATATACCTTGTGATGTGTATGTGTGGATTCGTGATGAATGTGGTGAGAATGCAGAATAAGTGTATTTAATGCTAATATATATATATATATATATATATATATATATATATATATATATATATATATATATATATATATATATATATATATATATATATAAAATTATATGCATTGATTATTATGGTAATATTTCTCACCCTTCTGCTATTTTATGATGCTCTATGAGGCATTGCATAGTAGGTATGCTGGAGGTCTTTTTGTGAAGCGTGTCTTCATTCTTTTGTCGGTCAGCTCTGATATGTAGCACCGGGTAGCTAGGATATATGATTCTTTTGTGATACGTTGTATATGTATCTTGCTGTGGAATGTTTATGAAAACATGAGTTGTGTTGTGAATTAAACTAGATGATATATATATATATATATATATATATATATATATATATATATATATATATATATATATATATATATATATATATATATATATATATATATATATATATATATATATATATATATATATATATATATATATATATATATATATATATATATATATATATATATATATGCGTGTGTATGTGTGTGTGTGTGTGTGTGTGTTGATGATTATCAATATTTAGATGTTTCCGCTTTTATTCTAAATATTGAGATGTGGGTATGAGGACTAAGTCCCTCTGTTGAAAGTTACTCCACTGTTGCATATCTTTATTGAGCAAGTGTTGTATGTTTTAAATTCAAGTATGATGTGGCACACCTCTTTTATACCGTGTTTTAATTATACTCTGATGGATTTTTAATATGTGCCTAAATGATTTATTTGATTAATTGGGGGTATAGAAAGGGGGTGTTACAGAGTGCGTACAATAACCATGATAACGAGTGGCATAATCCTCCTTCTACCCATGTGTATTGCATTAGACATATTGCACAAAACTTCATGCGTGCAATCAAAGACAAGAACCTTCGCAAAAAAGTTGTGAATGTCAGGTATGCTCTAACTCAACCAACATTTCATTACTACCTTAACGAAATTAGGATGTCAAATACAAATGTAGGAAGCTGGTTAGACAACATTCCACTCGAAAAGTGGACAAGGGATTTTGATGGTGGATGTCGTTGGGGCCACATGACGACAAACCTTGTGGAATCTATGAACGGGGTATTCAAAGGAATTAGAAACCTTCCAATCACCGCTTTGGTGAAATCAACATATTATAGGTTGACATCACTTTTCGCAACAAGAGGCGAGAGATGGAGTGCAATGTTAACGTCCGGTCATGTATTCAGTGAAAGCATTATGAAATTGATGAAAGAGGATACTATCAAAGTCAGGACACATGCAGTTACAGTCTTCGATCGTCATAGGCAAACATTTAGTGTACAAGAAACAATGGACCATAATGAGGGACGCCCAATTTATCCTATGTCGTTAGACTAAACAGATGTTTGTGTGACTGTGGCAAGTACCAGTCCTTCCATGTACCTTGCTCACATGTCATTGCGGCATGCGCACATGCTCGTTAGGATGCTTATGGATATCTATCTGATGTTTACAAGTCGATTAATGTTATGAACGTATACAACGAAGGTTTTGCAATGTTACCAATGGAAGATTATTGACCTCCATACCCAGGTGACATAGTTTGGCACAACAATGACATGAGAAGAAAGAAAAATGAACACCCAAACAATAAGCGTATAAAAACTGAAATAGATACGACTGATAAAATGATACCAAATACACCCACGTATAAGAACAATGTGGTGATTAATCAATTACATATTTTACTGCTGATTAATCAATATACACCCACGTATATTTAAAATGTTTAAGATTAACAATATGTGGGTGTATGTGGGTGTGGCACTTTTAAGATATAAATCTACGGGACAAGAAACATTAGTGCATATAAAGCATTGTTTTTTAACTTTGAGAAAATTATATATTACATATTGCAAATATATTATTTGTAAATAAAATATAGACATCATGAAAAATTATTATATAGGCATCATGAAAAATTATTAGTCAAAGATACGACTGTATTTAGTTTTATGTACATATTTCTTTTATTTTGGTCAAAATTTACACATTTTCTATTTTTATAGGCATCATGAAAAATTATTATATAGGCATCATGAAAACTTCTTAGTCAAAGATACGGTAGATCATGAAAAATTATTAGTCAAAGATACGACTGTATTTATTTTTATGTACATATTTCTTTTATTTTGGTCAAAAGTTTTTACATTTTCTAATTTTATATTCAGTAAAAATAATAATGAATAATAATGAAAAATCGAAAGAGACGTGATTCCCAAGTGCGGCAGCATCTACATTTTCTCAAACATATCAATTAGAAATTGATTTGATTTAGGATTAGAGTAAAATAATTTTAACCCTTAATTCATAATTACATATTAACAATAAACAATTAAGTCATAACTCATATAATTAAACTCTGATACTAAATATAAGTAGAAATATTTATTGATCGATTATATAAAATTAAAATATCAGTACTTATTTATTAAAGTCATGATTCATAATCTTAAAAAGATAAATAATCAGATTTTTCTCTATATTTCATTCTCCCTGATGATCGATTTAGGTTACTCTGATCCATAATTATAAATATGAATAAGGTAGTTAATCTACTTGCTAAGAATAAAGTGTCCAATTTGATTGAATTTGTAAAGCTGGAATAGAGGTCATAAAATTTCTTTGTTACTGAGTTAAAAAACAAAATTATTATTTATTGATAAAGTGCGATACAAAAAGATACCAAACCTCGAAGTTCATACATACCCCAGAGGAACAAACACTTTATTCTATTAAAAGATAACTTGTACTAATTAGAAAACACCAACAAACCTAGGTAGCAAAGGACCATGATGATATATAGTATCAGCTGTAGGTTGGATTGGCCAAAATTGGATTTGCCCAAAACATAACCCTCAATGGCTCTGAAAAGAGCATCAGCCTTAGCTTTGCCTTCTTCAACCTCCTTTTCAACAGGCTTAGCATCTCCTTTGGTATGATACTTAACAGTCATCTTCCCAACAGATCCTCCATTTGGACCTTCAACCAATTTGGCCTCAAATGATATCTTCTCAACTATGTCGGATATACCGACTCCTCCAACTATACTGTAACTATATTCCAACTTTACATCATCAATGGCTTCAATTTCGTGCAAGACGTACATGGTTTGTCCTCCATCAACGAAAGTGAACTTCTTGATAGTGCCTGGACCACCGTTTCCTTCAACGATCTCAACAGTCTTGATTGAATCAACAACCTTTGGAACGATGACATCAGCGTCATGCACCAGAGCTTTGTAGAGCTTGGCAGCAGGCACAGTTGAGGTGGTACCATTCTCATATGTGAAAACACCCATGCTTATTGATTTGATAATAAAGTTGTAAAGAAGATATTTGTTGGCGTATGTGACTGATGAGCGTAGAATAGCTTTCTATTTATAGCCGGAAGTATGTGACTGATGAGCATAGAAAGGCTTCAGTGACGTTACTGTAGGATAGCTCTGCCACTGTCTTCTTTGCCGGCTTCGGTTTATCTCCCGTCGTTTAGCGTGAACTTGATGACTCACCGTCACACTTGTTTTTTTTTTATTTTTCTATTAACAAATAACCACTCTTATCAAAATTCATGCTTCTAGATTATAATTTTAATAATTTTCAACAATTGTGTTCTGTTTAGTTGGACTTTTTTTACCAATATGCCAGAATCTAAAATCAAAAGTATTAATATACTAACAAGTGGAAAGAAAATGACCAATATATCATGATGGAAATATATCATGATGGAAGAAAAGAGTCGTCCTTCCATTGGACTATAATTTTATATAATTTAAAACATAAAAATTTATATAATATAATAGATATTATTATTTAAATATTAAAAATTCATTACATGATTTAAAATATTAATAACTTATATAATTCCATTGGATGACCCTATAAAAGTTTTTTTTAATTGTTATTTTAAATATAAATATAAAATATTTATTATAATTTTATATTTTTATTATGATTTTGTATAATTTAAAATATAAAAATTTATATAATATAATAGATATTATTTAAATATAAAAACTCATTACATTTATATAATAGACATTATAATTTAAGAAATATTTTTAAAAATAATTTAAAAAACAAATAAAATAATTTAGACTGACCGATATGACGGGCATGCTACATTCAGACATTTTCTACGCATATGGCCAATTTCTCGATATATTTCACATCTTTTCTTTTCTTTCTCAAGATCTTCCATTTCGGTTCTAATTCTTGTACTATTTGGACGCCCTTTCTTATTCCTTTGCATTGTCTCATCATGGCAAAGAGTGAATCCTTCATATGTTGGTCAATTTTGGTGGTGTGGAAGTCCAAGGAAGCTTTCGCTGTAGACTTTGAATACACTCAGAACCTTGAAAACATCTGGTATGTGCATGTTATTGTCTTGTCGTATATTGGCACATGCTACGATTACATGGGAGGAAGGTAAATGAAATGCTTGAAACCTCCCACAATCGCACCACTTTCTCCTATCTAGATTTTCACTAGATAGATTGAGGGCTAACGATGTTAGTTTGTTACCGCTACATTCTCTAAATATATACTAACATCTGTATTTAAACTCTACTATTATATTTTCTATAACAGTTTATTTGGAGGCCCTACCCAAACTACCCAGAATGCGTCCTTGTAGATAGCCAGATTTGGAGCATGACCACTTCAATTATCAATTTTCATATTGTTGAAATGCATCAAGCTGATAGGGTAAAATTGCAGTTTGGATTTCAACAAGATATCCCTTCTCAGCCTATATGTCTACGTGAACAACATGAAACTGAAATTCTCAACACATGGGGAGATCATTGGCGCAATATAAATAGAGAAGAGAATAACGAGTGGAAAAACAGAAAAAAAATTGACCCTACAAGGTAACATGGTTGACGGTAACTATGTTCATAGTAATGCATATATGCAATGGTTTTTATCCATTATATTTATGCATGCTTCTCAAGGCCAGTTCCTAGAAGACCCCGTCAATATGCATCATCTTCATCACATCAAAGATCCTCGTCGTCCATGCCTCAGATGAATCCTTTGTAATTTAAATCCCAGACATCTTCATTCACCCAACCCACATACCAACACCCCTAACCCATACAACCTCAACCAACATATCAACGCACTCATACCACATTCTTTGCCACCTCCTCTCAACAACCAACACCATACACCCCAACCCAGCCCCACAACATAACTTTTACTACCACGAAGAATACCTGGAACAAACCATATTTCGACTATCTTTTCAATTCACTCCAATTCCTCGACCTAATTTTGATTTCTCTTACCCCCAATCACAACACCAAACATTTAACCCTTCATTGTCTCAACCGACTTCTACCGGCTGCATTGACAATGTTTATTACCCTCCCATCCAACAAAGCCCTCCAACCACCTTCAACCAACCATCCCAGCCAGTCCCCAACCATCTCCTAACTGATGATCAACTCATGGAATGGCTAGGTTTTTCTGTTACTGATGTGGACATGGTCGATACATCATATCAACCTGAAAATAAAGAGTTGACTTCCGACCCTACCCCATCACCTACAAGACGGCAACCCGAAGAGTTAGGCATCGGGAAACGAGTGAAAAAAAGTAAAATGTGTGGAACTGGCGGTCATTTATGTAGACAAAAATGATGTATCTTTTTCACTCATTGGTATTAATGAAATTGCTTTTATTTTTGATTTTATTTAATAAGAAAATTATTTTAATTAATTAAATAATTAATTAAATGTTAAGAAAAATATTTAATAAAATTATAAAATTAATTAAATTATTTATTTATTAATATTTTAAATCATGTAATGAGTTATTAATATTTAAAAAACAATTAAATATATAAACTTATAATAAATATTTTATATTTATATTTAAAATAATTATAAAAAAACTTTTAAAGGGTCGGCCAATGGTTGGCCGAGCCCCTTCATGAGATTATGTCCTTCATAGGGTCGTCTAATGGAAGGACGAACCTGTCGCTACTGCGAAAATCGGCGCCGGCTGAACAGAAGAGTCGCCACCGTGCGTTATTTATCCCACGGGAAGGAAAGGAAACGCTCAGAGTAAACCTCGCACAACACGGGAAAGGTATGGTCGTCGCAACCAAAACCTGGATTCGGGAGTCGGTTACGCAAGGGGAAGGTATTAGCACCCCTCACGTCCGTCGTACTCGACGGGATCCACGCTTGTTTTCGGGTATGGATTGTTATTCTATCTAAACTATAGGTCAAGGGTTAAAAAGAAAATAAAATTGAAGATAAAAATGACTCGGCAAAGTATCGCACTTTATGCCTACGTATTCTCGTCTGGAACGAGAAATCAGAGTCAACGTAGTTCGCCTACCTACGGGAAAGGAGGGGAAGGTTGCTCGCTAGGATATCGCATCCTATGCCTACGTACTTTCATACAGCATGAAAGATCAGAGCAAACGTAGTTCGGGCCACGTACGACACAGGCTTGTCTTGGTTGATTTTATTTCTTCTGAAAAAGGTTTTCTTGATTAACAGTCCCAGCGGACAAAAATGACGTCTTGATGAGTTCACATTCTTTTACGGAAGAAGTGTCTTTTATTGAGTTTGAAATCTTTACGTGTTTTTCTGTTTGTTTTGAGAAAGAAAGAGACAGAACTCTAACCCACGGTTGCGAAGGGAAACAAACTAACCTAATGTTATCATGCATGGGTTAAGACCTAGTGTCTATCATGCTCCTCTCTTGCACAGAGGGAAACAGAGATCCTAAGGGAATAGACAGCAACAGAAACAATATCAGATATATACAGTAAAACAGTAAAATGCATGGATGCAACAGTACAAGCGAGGCAAGGGAGTCCCACTCAACCTCGAACCTAGAAAACAATAGGCGAAAGTGAACAGGATTCACTTTCAACCCAACAGGGTAAACAGCAAACAATACAGTCATGGAAACCAATCAATACATCAGCAATGAAATACAGCAAAAATAAACAGCCACAGCAGCTCTAAATCAACATCTGGCTCCAAGTAATCTCCAATCAGCTACAGGCTTCAACAATCATCAATCTCCATCTTCATGACCTTCAGGCAAGGGCTTTGATCATCAGTCTTCTATTTGCAATGGCTTTTCTTCAGGTCTCAGGCCCCAGGATGAACATCAGCCAACCAGATGAGGTGAATGAATGTTAGACAGTTAATTACCTACCAAGGGTGGTTCATCAACTGTTAACATTAAACAGAAATTTTCCTCTCAAAAGTTCTATCTTTCAAATATATTCACTGATCCTTCCAAAGGAAGGAGGTGGATATTTGAAAGAGACTTTGAATCATAGAGAAAGGATAGAGGCACACAAAGCCATCTATGTTTGGGAAGCAAGCTTTCTAATCTAGAGCTCTGCCTAGCTCCTAAACCCTAATCTCCTCAGCAACTGCTGGCAAGAACCTCCTCAACTCTGACAAATGGTCTTAAATCTCTGGATCTCCAATGGTCTTCATCTCCTCAAGTCTTCAGCTTCCCCAAGTCCCCAGACAATCCCAATACCCAGGCAAGCAAGCAATAATCCCCAGAGGGCACACCACACCAGTCAATCAGATATATATAGAGTATTAATAGTAGTAGGGGAATCCTGACTTTTTCTAAGGGGGTCTAATAACTACCCATAGCCCCTATAGTCCCATAGCTAAACTATTCAAACCCTAAGCCCTAAGGGAAATGAATTGATTCTCCTAAGTCATCACCTAAAACCCTAATTTTATCCATGATATTCACACTTACACTAATCATCTAAATTTAATTTCTAAAAATGGGAACTAAATTGAATCTACAAGTTCAATGTCTAACCTAAACAACCTAAAAAGAATGGATGAAAAACATGAAAGTATCTAATAGAACAAAAATTATTAAAATCATGTATGAAATGAAACCATTTAAGATGTTATTTATTTAGAAAATATGTGAAAAATATCAAATAAAATATAAAATGCAATTTTTATTTTTTATAATTTTCTAGACATCCTAAAGAAAATAATGCAAAAAGAATGAATTAAAAATGATTATTTTGCTATTTATTATGAATTTTAGAAAATGCATGAAAAAATTAAAGAAAATAAAAGAAAACATAAAGAAATAAGAGGGAGGGGGTGAGAATAGCAAGGAAACCAAGTTACGCGCGTTGGGCTTATGAAACTGGGGGGTGCAGATAGCGCTCTGAGCCCAATCCCCCTCACTTAATGAAACGCCGCGTTTCATTTCTGAAGCTTCCCTCCGTTTTGAACTTTAAACCACAGCCATCAGATTACCTCCCAAGTCCAAGTCAAACCCT